GCTGATCACGAACTTGGAAGCAGGGGTTATATTTAATTCTGATAATTATTTTGATGTGTGCATTTGATTGCATATTTGAAAAATAAAAGCATGTATATGTTGTTCAGTTATGTTCCAGTCCTTAGAAATTTAATTTTCATTACAGTTATAATTAGATTCTTACGGCCTTTCCAGCGTTATACAAACTCGATATTAAAGCAAAAGAAAGGACAATACTAGCTGATAACAATTACAAGTTCATTCTACCAGTTTATTATGTGCAATGATAAATGCAATAAATGTTATCGTAATTTTATCTGTTAAGATTTTTTTTAATAAGAGGAAAATATGTTATTGCGTGAAATAATTTTATTCATATTTTGAATATTATTAGTCCAAAGGGGCTTTATCCCTGAGGGACTATTGTTTTCGTATTGCGATTTTGTGTCAAAAAAACTCTGAAAGTCCGTTTCACTTTTCAAACTGTTGCCAGCAAATGTTATTGTTATATATTATATTTGAAGAAATTAACTAATGATGAATCTGCATAATGTATGTATGTTTCTCGCATTGGGATAAAACAACGGTAACATCAAATATTGAATGAAGTAATACTACTACGAATATGAGAATATGGAAGTCCAAAATTAAAATCGGGAATTTGTTTTATTATCGATTTCATATTTTGTAAAGCTTAACAAATTTAAACAAATTTTTGATTAACAAAATTAAGAATTTCAAAGCGAGCAGTGGCAACGTTGTACAGAAAAAGCATTTTTATCTCCAGTGCGTGAGATTGTGTATCGGAAATTCTAAAGATATGCTCAATTTAAAAGTATTTTGCGATATTGCTCTTAAATTGAATTTTATGGTTTGAGTGCGAAGAACATGATATTAATAAATAAAGGTAACACACAAAATGTTAAAGAAGGGCCGCTTTGGGCGTAATTTAAAATCTGAAACCTTTCAGATTTTCTTTTTAATTGTTTTTGTTTTTAATACAAATATAAATTATTCTGAACGAAAACATTCAAGTAAATAAAAAAGCCACTAAGCCTATAAAGGTATTTTCTCTATTCTTTCCGCGAGTCTTTGTGGAGTAACTGAAAGCACTTCCAACGCGTATTCTAGAGGTCCCAGCTAGAATCCCGACTAGGGCATTGTACATTTTTAACGTTACTGTATTTATATAACCTCGTAACTCTACAATCTTTTCAACTTTTATACGTTCATTGAACAATAGGAAAATTTTACGAACAAAACTAATTTTCGGTAATTACATTTACTTTGAATACTAATTCTAAAAATAAACACAAAATTTGCGAATTTTGAAATTAACATTAATTTTATCATTAGTTTTTAACACTAAGCAGCTGCTTCATATATTATTTCAAAGTTAATTAATGATTTAAATACTTTATTTTAGATTTAACTTGAATTTGATTTAATTTTATTTGACAGAATATTTATCTGCATATTTTTGGACCTTTCATAATTCTAATATTTTATAAACATAGTTTTGGTAATTTAGTAAACTCTTTCAAAACAAATTTTAATACGTCTCATAGATTAGCTTGGTTTTGTGAAATTTACTTTTGTATAAAATAATTTTTCTCAGCTCTATTCTGATAAATGTATTCTGAGTATATGTAACGTAGACTAGGTTCGGTAAGCCAAATGTAATAACAGTGACTTTATCCGAATGTAACACAGCTAGAAAAGGAGCTACTAGTCTATTATGTGATCAGTTTATATCAGCATACCCATTTAACAAAACACATGCACTACAATATATAAAAACTCTTCGAAAGAAAATGGGAAAATTTTAAGAATTAAAAGTTAGGATGGGAATTAAAGAAAAAAGCTAGGGAAAATAAAGCAAGTCACCATAAAGTATTTGTTTCCTCCTTCCAGCACGCCTTTGTGGTGTAACGGTAGCACACTCGGCGCGTAATCGAGAGGTTCAGGTTCGAGTTCCGGGGTGAGCGATGCTTATTTTTCACATCTCCAGCATGAAAAAACCTAATGACTATACAGTGGCCACCCAATTAAAAGGTCATGGACAATAATTTGCCACAACCAGGATGTGACACTTAAGTTCCCTAATCCCTAGTCGTCCCTCAAAGGAGAGAGTACATAGGATATTATTTTTCGCCTTCCAGCTTGCCTTCGTGGTATAACGGTAACACTCTCGACATTGCTAATTTTTCACATTTCCAGCATCAATATAAACCTAATGACACTACAAGGGGCACAAAACAAAATATAAGGGGGCATCAGGGATGAAATTTGCTGGAGATGATTTGCGGGGAATTGTTCAGTAAAAGGCTGTGTCTCTAAAAATCAGAACAACTTTATCAACTACTAGCTTAAAAATATAGTAAACAAATGCTTTAGTGTTTTCTTAAACATTTGATATAACTGTAAGTAACCACTAAAGTCAGTGTTAAATACTTGTACTGATACGGTACTACATGTTGTCTCTCTTTCATTCACGGAACAGCATTGTCGACAGCAGACAAAAATAAACTGATATTTCTTCCATGAATACTGCAAGTTTAGAACACTGCATTTATAAACGTGGCTTTTATAAACTCCACGAACAAATCATAAAATTCCATATTAATAATATTTCTCAGGATCCAAATTCTTTCAAAAAAAATGAAAAGATTTTTCTGATCTCTTATTCGTATTCTTACAATACTACTTACATATTTAATAAGGAAAGGATTGGCTGTTTTAATAAGAACATTAGTATTCGTGTGTTAATTTTTGTAGCGTTGGGCTTCAGATTCTTAAACAATACAGTTGAATGTCCAGTTGAAGTCTGGTCATGGCTTCATCACTATGCGATGTCTACATAATAACATATATAATATGATATTTAAGAGAGTAGTAAAGCCTAATTTCTCTGTATCTCTTGAACTTTGATCTTAATTGCTTTAAAAATGGAATTGACTGAGTTGGGAAAAGCATGGACGTGAATTCGGTTGAGATTCACCCATTTAATGACGCACAGAGATCTCTGGTCACTATCCATTCAACTGTAATTATTCTTTAACAAAGGGGGATCATTTAGCTCCAAAGCTTTGCAAAATATGAATGTCTTAGCTCACAGAAAATATAATAATGTGAAACATGGGGCTTACCCAAACGGATGTGAAACATAAAATGTAAAATCAGTTGCAGAGAAACGAATGATCCATAATGTCCCGAAATCGGATAATTGATCCCCAATTCTTTATTTTTCTTCATGGCATTGGAACACTGCCAGTACTTCTGTTTACAACAGGAATGCGAACATCTCTTATAAAAGAATAGTTGTGTTTGTGAATAAACTTCGGAATATACAAGAACTTATTTGCTTGCACATGCCCGACATTTTATCGAAAACATTCAGCTGGAAGAGTTGAATCTATTCGGCATGTAAGCATCTTATCACCTGGAAAATTGCTAGTGGCTCTCTCTAGAAGTAGACCGATATTATACGCTCGAGAAGGTAGCGGAAATAAGCATCCAAGCCTTTTGTGGAAGTCGAACACGCGCTCTTCGATTATTATTATTTATGTGTTCCGCCTTAAGGCACTACATGGAAAGGAGGAATGCTTTCGTGGAGTACTTTTTAAGGGAAAATAGCTAGTATTAGCGCGTTGCACATGGGGAAAATCACAAAAACGCCCATGCAGCCAGTCGAACGCCCATGCAGAATTCGAACCTCGTACCGACGTTCCAGTGTTCAAGGACTTTACCGCTCGACTGCTTTTGGGCCTAAGCGAGTGAACTAATAACAAATAAATTTTCGACCTGTTTTCGTTCGTAATGTATGAGATAAGCAAATTCAATACAAAACGTATTACCTTGGCTGCGTAAGACTCCATTTCTTAGTCGAGATATTACCCTTTTCTAATTTTTGGTCGTTACATTTCTTTAGTCGTTTTTTTTTAACTTGAATTTCTTTCTAGGCAATGCAGTTTCCTATTTTTTCCTACTCTATTACTATTTAATTTAGTTTCCTTATTAATTAAGCTTGATAAGTAAAGATAATAAAGAAACAAATATGTTTTCGAAAAATACTCTTTAATCCGAAATATATTTTACTCAAAAATTACGCTGATTATCTCACTTTGAATTATCGTATTTTTACTGCAAGAAAAGGAATTACCTCAAGATCACTAAAAGTGTAGCGAATAATTACGTTCTGCTCAGTTGTGGTAACGTGTATTTCTTTGAGCGGAACTACTAAACTTAGCATTATTTATTATCTCGTTATTCTGTGGGTGCCAAACACAGAAATCGTAAGGTAGCTTTATGGGAACAAATGTCCGTAAATTCCTATCATCCCTTCCAGAAGAGTTAGCAAGTTATATTTACTTACTTTTTATTTTTCTTAGCTCTCCTGTGAGGTGAGATAGATGCTTAGTCGTCGTTAGAGTAGATTACGTGAGGGACAGCTGTGTAACGAATTGTCTTTCTGTTGTATTAGATAACATTTGTGGTTGAGCTATCTCTTTATTTTTCTCTTTGCAGGTTTATTCAACATTTATTTACTTTTTCCCTTTTAGAAATCTTCTTTTATTTTCATGGACCGAGCATTGACCATAAGATATTATTAAAACTTTACAATGATATAAACCAGCATTTCTTAAACGTTTTTTAATTGGGACCACTTTTATAAATGAGAATGTTTAGTGTATCAACGTATTCCTGTCCTCTTCGATAGCTACTTTTTAGCATATATTAACATTGAAAAATATGATTACTTACTAAAATTTATTTAACTTTATATCGATATTCATCAAATAAATTAACCGATGAACATTCGTATTCCTTTCTAATAATTCAAGGATGTTCAAGTTCGAATAATCTGTATCTTTAATTCATTAATCGGTATTCACATTAATGAGATGAATTAGCATGCCAGGTCTAAAACAGTTATCCTGTGTTTGGAATTCTGCTGGTAGGGTTAATTCTGAGATCGGCTCATATATTAAGTCGGTTTAAGTACTTTGTTTTTATTTCAGGTGGCCATGAAAACTCTCTCTCCGACAGATGCAAAGAATCAAACTGAGTCATAATTTTAGTGAACAATTTTACAGTTCCTTGTACTCCATTTTCATTGGTAATGAGACCAGAGGTTCTAGATGTGAAACGAAATGATAGCAAGAAGCAACGCAAACATCCTGCTTTAAGGATTCTGCTGATCATCACTCTCGGTATAGCTTCTTTTGCTGCTAAACCCAGAGTGGGAAGTCCACAGAAAAGGTAATCGGTAATATATTTCATAAAACTTCGATCTTGAGAGAGAGGGTGATAGAATATTGTCATGAGTAATTTCCAAACTCTGGAATTTTCAGTTATAGTGTGGTATACGCAATTTATTTGATTTTGTCGTTTTTGAAACTCTAGAAAGTCTACAAAAAGGGCAGGCTTTGAGGACCACTGTTATTCCCCGTACCACAAATTTAAAAAAAAAGCAGGTGTAAAATATTAGGACGAAACAAAATTTCAAAATAACTTTTGTAAACAATTAAAGCTTTTATGTTCACAACGTTACATTTAAATATTATAAATAAGTATGTCTAAACGCCATTGAAAAGTTGAACTTTTATTAACACTTCGAAAGCCTCGAGTAAGTATAAGTCATATGTAAGCTTCCGCAGAGTTTCGTCACCTGTACGTAGTTGATGTATTTATATATTTAACCAGAAGAATATGTATGTTAAGTAATTCTTCAGAATTTTACGAAAAACAGAAGTATTTAATGACACGAGTAAGCAAAATTGCATAGAAACCTTAATAAGGAAATTACAGAAAAGATGCTCGGTAAACCAAAATAACCTGTGGGTCATCGTAATTTATCAAAAAAATTACATAAATTTGAAGTCACGTTTTATGGTATTCTTCGAAGCAACTACAAAACTTGTCGTCATAACAATGCTAAGATAAGTTCCATTACATTTAAAAAAAAAACTCTAGCTTTTTTTAACATCGTGAAAGGAGCCTCTTGGTTCTTTGAGAAGGAGGTAGCGAAATAATTTCTGTGTAATTTCTAAATATTTTTTCTTTCGAGTTTATTTTAAGTAGAAAACTGTTCTTCCTTTGCAAAGATGTGTGAAAACTATCGAAATTTATTACCAGTCTTTGTGCAATTTGTTGCGTGGAGGTTAACTAAATAAAATTGCTGACTGTGCAATTCTTAGGAAGAAGTGAAACAATTTCCCCCTTAATTCTCATTGTGCCCTAATGCTTCTGCTGGGACTGATGAAAGAACCTGGACGTTAAGTCATGAGAAGATTCGGAAAATGAAGAGCTCTTTCCCATTAGACCTCTGGCGTCTTTGTTGTCGTCACATAATTTATTTATTTGGCTGCATTTATTCTTCCGCCCTAGCAAAAATGATTTAGGTTTCTATAAGTCTTCCTTACGTGATAGCTTCGGGAGCGACATCTATTGACAAAGTTGCTATTATCCAAGTCTCTCGGGAAGAAAAAAACATTTTCGCATTAAAGGCAGCACTTTATCTTTTTATGTTGTTATTTTAATTGCTTTGCTTAAGTAATACGTATTCGGAGATTTTTCAAAATTACTTATGTGAAAATTCTGAACTGAAAACCGATTAGAAAAATTATCGATTAAAAAGTTTCAAAGTTTGCTTCCTGCATTTATAAATACGGAACATGATAAAAGAAGAAATAGAAAAAATTAAAGAAATTGTATTTTATATTTCTGCGTCTATTACCTCAAAATCATGAGCATCGTTGTAAAATCCAATTTTATAACCAGGGGTTCTCAACTGGTGGTGCGCAAGAGAAAAATAGGCGATACGCAAAGAAGCAAAGTATTTTTAACTATTAAATTCAAAAATTAAAACACCAACATCCTGAATTTTCTCTCTAACACTTGTAAATTTATGCGATCTGAGCTCTGTTGAAGAGTGGTGGTGGTACTAAAGGTTTTCAACTTTTTTTAGATGGTGGGGTTAGTCAAAAGGTTGAGAACCGCTGGTTTATTCTATTCTAAGCTAGAGCCATTCTGAAGAGATCAATGTGATACGCATGTTGAAATAAAAAAACTAATAACGACTATTAGATTATTAGTGACAGGTGTAGTAAGACAAATGTCTTTCGAGTGATATTATTCTTATCTAAGCGAACGAAATTAATTAATTATTCAATAATATTACTTTGAGTTCTGTGAATATATAATTAAAAAGTCGGAACCTGAACAGTGATCTTTTCCTTATTTAAATACAAAAATGAAGGACTAATAAAATTTTTTTCCACAATGAAAATATTTCTGAGAAAATGAGTAACTGATACTGAAATTTAATCTTTGCATATAAAATTAAAATTTATTATTGTCTTCAGTTAATGTACGATTTTAATCAATAGATATTTATCACTTAGAATTCATTGAGCAGTAATTATTATTTAAGTACTTGAATCATTATTGTAAAAATTTGCACACGTTTTGAATAAAATGAAAAATACATTGATTTGTAGAGCAGAACACATGAAAAATGAGCAATGCCCCCACCGGAACACGATGTTTTACATACTCCCCCTTTTAAAGGGATTGGGGCTGGGGACTACGTTACCCAATCGCCAAATCTTGGTGGTTGAGAATCATCATCCATCATCTTTTTTTTTTTAGTTAGGACGACACTGTACAGACATTAGGTTATTTTTTAAGTAGGAAACATGAAAAATGAGTGTCCTCTCCTGGACTCGAACCTCTCGAATACGCGCTGAGTGTGCTGACCACCACAGCTCGAAGACATGCTAAGAAGGCGGGAGCAATACCTTATAGATTATTTTACTAGTTTTATAAGCTTTAAAGGAAATGAAAGATTTAAATCTTTGTTTTTCAGCTTCATAATTTTGGTATCGTAAATAAAGTGGAATATAATGTTACTATACTAAAATCTTCACCAACTAAATTAAATTTCTATATAGAAATTTTCGGTGATATACACAGATGGTAGAATCCGAACGTTGTGTCGCAGATTTTAATTGTGTTAATGAATTTAAATTATTATGTATTAAGCATTATGCTTTCATGTTAAACGAAATTATTTGGACGAGATTAATTAGGGCAGTTTGAACGCTCTCGGGTTATTATTTCTTTATTGGACTTGTGTGGCAGAAGAGAACAAGGTTTTTCTAAATATCTATTTTGGGTGTAGAAAAAGACGAGTTTGTTATAACGCTTACTGCGTATGTGAAGGAAATCTTTCCAGTTGTTAGTGCCCAGATGATGAAGAGAAAAAAGACGACTTTTCCCAAGCTGTCAATTAAAGACACAAAGTGAAACATTTCCGCGTCGGAAGAGAAAGGATCGAATTTTGTTCTCACGCGTTTTGTAACTCATTGATAGGGTACAATCCTTTTTGACGAGAGGTTTTTCTTTTTGGATAAGTATGAGGGTAAGTGTTTTCACGCTGCATTGATCAAAAATTAGTTTTTCGCCCAGCAATGGGCGAGCAGTAAAATCGCTGAACACTGGTACTTCCAACTTGGGATTGATTCCAAGCGAAAGAGTTGGATGGACATTTCCGTGGCCTTTCCCATGTATAACCTATACATGTACCATGAGAGTATACATGAGACAGTTTTCCTTGGAATGTTCTCCACAAAGGCATCCCTCCCTTTAGGCAGATAGCCCTAATGTGCTTTGCGATAATCAACTAAACCAAAGCAAACCAGAAATAAATTTTTATTTTTATCTTCTAGCCTATGATATTTTGATAGGCGTGAACTCTTCGAGCTTGCAGGAAAAGACCTTAAAATCATATGCATTAATAAATAAATGCTGTTATCTGAGTCGATATACGTGTAATCTTACTTTTAATTCGAAATTTGCATATCAGCTAATGTAAAACTTACATTAAAAGAAATTAGCGATTATAATAAAGGAAGACAAGGCAGTGGTGTTAATGGTGTTGTTTTATTCAATAATTAATATTAAACAAGTGTTTTACAAACAAACCAGTTTCTTAAACTGCTTTTCTGACACTAAGAAACTCATATTATAAAATGTTATTTTTTTCTGTAACTATTGGATTTTATTTAATGTCTTCTTCAGTACTCGTACAAAAATATTAAAATATGTTTTGTAACGCTAATAACATTGTAATAACTAGCTATAAAAACTGTCATAAATCTAAATTAAAAACTTTGATCATTAATGTGTGAAAAAAACATTTCTGGATATCTATTTTAAACGTATGTAATGATATTATATTGTAAAAATATTGCATAAACTTTACATAATTAAAATAAGTGTGGTGTATATGGATGTGGCATAAGTCGTATATATATATATCCTCCCAACTAAGGGAAAATTACTAATATGCAAAGTCACTGTTTTGATTTCCATGCTTTGTGTAGTTAAAATAACTACAGTCTAATTCATCAAATGAGGTTAAAAGCGTCATGGAAAAGAAGAGAAGGATGTAGGAGCAAGAAGTTAATTAGGTTGAAAGGGGGAAAAATAAGGAAGTTTCAATGTTTAGCACGATATGGTTGTAGTATGGTTGATATTTTTCATGCTGCAGTATCAATCTCGAAAGAGTACATGGAACTAGTAAATACCGTAGTAGCTATATTGTAATCAATCATCCTCATTATTTTATTTCAGGCCCACCAGCGGCCGAGCGGTAAAGACGCTGAACACTGGTAGTTCGGTCTGAGGTTCGAATCCCGCGAACGGGCTGGCTGCATGGGCGTTTTCGTGGTTTTCCCCATGTGTAACGTGTATACGAGCCAGTTTCCCTTAGAAAGTCCTCCACGAAAGGCATCCCTCCCTTTAGGCAGATAGCCCTCGTGTGCTTTGCCATAATTAAATACACCAACACCATTATTTTATTTCAGACTTATTTGGCTGCCATGTTGCATATCTTGAAGTTGTAAATATTTCAATGAACCTCTGCTATCTGGTTTGCGTTGATCGCGATTTAAAATGGAATACAAGTGTTTTTTCCCTTTTGCAGATATCAAGTATTTAGAAGGTTTCTAAAGGATTTAAATTTCAGATGTACGCTTCTTTTACATGAATAAAATATAAATTCATGTCTGAACATTTCCATTTTCTACATTCTGCTTTTTTCAATATCTGTGTTCACATTTCAGTTCGCATGGAGTACACTATTTCAAAAAACTGCACTTCAGATTGCCTACTTGCGAAAGAAAATAAGAATTGGGAGAAGAAAATTCAAAAACGGTTCTTTGTTATACCGAACAAAATATACTCTTGAGTCGGGT